TGCAGTGCTTTAAATCACCAGTCACCTTCAGACATAAGTTGACAAGTCTCATATGCCTGTAATTTCACCAGTACCCTTATCCTTGAAAATCAGAACGCAGTAATTCTGTCGTTGTTTGGCGGCAGAAATGGTATGGTGGCATTGCTTCCCTAGACGAATTCTTTCACCAGGAGTTCCACTGCCGCTTTGCTCACGATCTCTGGATATGATAATAAACATTCAAACTCAGAACTGATTTACTACTTTAGTGGAACATCGAGTAAAAGTGTTCGAAATATTATTATTTTGAATATCTACACATATCAAAAGTGTCTAGGGACCAAACATGTTTTACCACTTCTTTTAACGCACACACTCGTGCAATAGGCACACCCTGTATTGCGGGTGTCATGGATACACGTATGTAGACAAATTACACCCAAACTCACGAGAGAAATAAATGTAGGCCATACAAATATTTCTCCCGGCCCGGGAATTGAACCCGGGACGAGATGCAACGACTTCGAGAATATAACCAGAAATAGAGACGAAATAAGCGCCATCCATCCTTGGCAACCTATTAGGCAAATGGGCCCTATATCACTTTTAAATATCAACTCTCGTTTCATGTAGCAGAGCCATCCTAAAGGTAGCAGCAGTACTCCATGCACGACCAGACTTGTGCTTGGTACAGCTGAAGCAACTGTCCCGATGTGAAGTAACGCCTCACCCGGAAAGGATCACAAGCTTCCTTGCTGCATGTTTGGCCATGGACTTAATGTATCTGCCAAAGTACAATATGATGCCAATATGGGCCAATAATATCTATGTGAATGTGCTGGAATCTGGCTTTTGGTAGTGCGTACGTCCCTAAAGGTGAAGAAACGTGTCTCGTTACTTTGCATCTTTGGCATGCTATGCACGCTCGTGCCCAGTCGCGGCAGTCCTTTCGCATGCCTAGCCAAACATAACGCTCCGCGATCAATTTGGCAGTAGTGTTTGTTCCAGGGTGGCTTAAAGAGTAGAGGCTTCTGAATACTTGCGTACGGAGGCGTGATGGTACGTATGGTCTTGGAGTGCTTCTGCTTTGGTCGCAGTATAATTCGACTTGCGTTCCAGGTATTATGACTTTGGGAACTACACCAGTCTCAAGTGAGAGGCGGTACAGGCGTAGGCGTATGAGAACAGGAGACAACTCAGACGCACAGTTACGTAAGGTTACCGGAGCTGTAGGCACGCTCACTTCCCGTTGCGCATTGCACAACTAGCAGTTGCCACCGCTAAGCCGTCGACTCTGAGTCCACTACCAAAATCCTCATTGGTGGCGGAGCTGTACGGCACGCTTACTTCCCGACGCCGAAAAACGACGTCTCTCCAGTTCCCAATAACCTAAGCGGCTGGAGGGACTGGAGGATATCTAGCTTATCCTCTACTAGCTCTCCGGGCTAGTGCCGGAGATGCCAGTCGCAGTGTCCTGCGACAATGTCCGGACATAGCTTCCAACTTAAAGGGCAACTCACGTGCCCCGCGCGTCTCCTCGCATACAGGCCCTCAACTAGACCGCTACTAAGTAAGACGCGCTAGCCGCTCACGAGACAGACGCCCAAGCAAAGCAAACAAGCAAAACCGGGGCAGACAAACATGTCCGTCTCTGCAGCTAACCACAAACCCCAGCGAGTCCTTACCCAAGTCCGGGTCCGCCAGAGACGCCCGCAAAGGCGTATCACTGGCGGAGGGTTTGGCCCGGACGCCCGCCGTACCCTGGTCTTGCCGTCGAGTCCGTAGTCTCTCCGGAAAACCCTATCTCTCGGGTAAGTAGACAGGGACATAGCCTGAGATAAGATGAGATCCAGACGCGAACTCTTTGCGAAGAGTGAGGCAAAAAGATTTGCCTTGTCTTCTGCACTATAGGCCAGCGTGTCGTCCGGCCTCAGCAGAGGTGGCATAGATGGGCGACAAAAGTTAGTTAGTGACTTTATATTAAAAGATGTTTTGTTTAAAAAAATAATTTGTAAATTTCTGGCGTCGCCATTATCACTACGCATACATAATATGCAAGATGTGTGCGTACGATCTGAGCGCCTGATCGAACTGATAAAAATTTGATTTTTATAGAAAATCAATGATGAATGAATATCAATTCAATAAAAATTTAAAATACAGTGAATAGCGACATCTCTCACCAGGACTGGTAACCGTAAAGGTTCTAACTGGGTGATAAATCTTTCATAGATTTCTCATAGATGGCGCTACGACTAAAAAGTCGTTGAAAAACCTAATACAAAGACACGACGCAAGCACGTAGAAAAATTCGTGAGGTCCACTGGTTCGTTCCGTGGCTTAGTTGGTATAGCGTCTGGCATGGTAAGCTAGAAGACGTCGGTTCGAATCCGGCCGGATCGAAAGAATTTTTTCTGAGTGTTCGATCTTTGTATTAACTAGTGGAGTAATTTCACAAAAAATAATTGAATATCAATTCTATAAAAATTTGATTTGATTTTGTATAACGGTTTTCGTAAAAACAAACACCGTTGTACAAATTCGTTTTAGGGTCGCGCTCGCGTCGCCAAAACACCGCCGCCGCCGCCGCCAAAAAGTGTCGTCGGCGCGCCGTCGCCGGTTGGTATATTATCAGCGCTCATATCTAGTCCATGGCACCATGGGACACAGGGTGTCCCTAGTGTGGGGTATGAGTGTGTGTGTTAAAAAAAAGTTGTTCGAAAAAAGCTGCTAACTGAAGCCAATGGAACACCTAGCAAGACTCAAAATTGCCGCACATGCGAACAATAACAGTCTATGTATAGTCGACAGCACAACAAACTATAACAATTTTGTTCGAATGTCGCCTCCAGTACAACGGAACAAGATCCGTCAATGTGTAGCTTGATTGTGCTGCCACGCTAACTATTAATTTAAGACATTGCTTTCAAACAATCAGCATCCATCTTATTTCTCAAACATCTACGTGAAACGAAACAATGAGCTCTTTTAGAACAATGATGGGTATTTAGCTGATAGCGTATCAACTGATTTAATGATTAAAGAAACTTGAAATATGATATACTAACGATTTTTTGTGAATTCATTGCATTTTTTTATTGTGAAACAGCCTTCAAGGGTTTGCAGCTCAGTTCCTTAACATCTTTAGTGTATACTGTCATATTACCCATAAAAAATAACCGTAATTCGTGCTCACGTGATTTCAATTGGCAATAGCGAAACGTTGCAGTTTGTATGCCTGGACTGTTTGATCATATGTTTTACACGATGTAGGTGTTGTTAGTGAAGTATCGATTCAATGATAATTCAAATAAAGGCAGTAATCGGTTGAAACCGTATTAGCATTATTGCCTACAAATACCAAAACTGTCCGTTAGTTAACATTACGTAAGCACAGGACCAGCTTTAATATGTAACAGATGAGCCTCGCTATAGTTGCATTGGTTATAGATTGGTTATATTACTTACACACACTCTAGGTTTGACAATGTACATAATATGTTATATAATAATAATACAAACCGTTTAGAATTTAATTAATATGAATTGAAGCATTAGGTGTAACTAGGGCGTATCACGTAAAAGTGAGATTAGAGATAATTGAAAATGAAGTTTTACTTTCTTATATCTTTTTAATATTTATAATATGATTTGATTACTCTTATATACTTTATTATTTATTTTTTCTTTGATTTAACTAAAAGATTCAGGTGTTATTATTATTTTTAAACAATTGGAAACATTTGAAAATATTTTTTTTTCCTTGTGTTATCCGCCCTTGTTGCAGCAAACCGGTAAATTAATAGGGCGTTCGTTTTGTTATTAGTCCTCGTTACAGACATTTTTTTTACATTAAAATAAGTTTTACAAACTGCAGGTGGTAACGTGCCAGAAATTCAAATGCACATTTATAATCTATGCCATAAAGGCGGAGCGACACCTTTCAAATGAATGAAAATTACGCCATCTAGAAGGGAGATCGTAATGAGTTTTTGTCACAAGGTACTAGATAGTGTTTTACATGTTTTGATGCAATAACATCAAAACGGGCTTTAGGTGCCGAACGCCCTTGTTGTTGTAGTTGCTTCAATTCAAAACTGCCTCCGTGGCCGACCACGCCGAACTCGATTCCCAGGCCCGGCCGGGAGAAATATTTGTATGGCCTAAATTTATTTATCTCGTGAGTTTGGGTGTAACTTGTTATTGTGTATGTGTGTGTCCATGGCACCCGTGACACAGGGTTTCCCTAGTGCGGGGCTTTAAGAAAAAATTACAGATTAGAAAAACTGGTATTAAAATCTGTGGATCTCAGTCCATATCTGGCAACAGAATAACTTAATACCGAATACTGGTTATATCAGTCAGCTGTTTCACGCTCGGCTGATGAATGACCGCCAATCGCCGGTGGCCGAGTTGTAACGGAGGGGCAGTTGGCTAATTTCTGTTACTAATTAAACGCATAACGCATTTTTAGGTTATGGTCCTCAATAGTGTAGAAATAGTGAGATACTTAGCGTTAGAAGCAAGAAAGTTATGAACTACTGAGGTCTTTCTATTTCATATTACAATAAAACGATGTGTCGATACAGTATTTTAATATTTATGGTCAAAACATCAATAGAGCCCCTTGTGAAAGAGTTCGTCCAGGGAAATACTGCCACTTTCCCTATTTCTGCCGCCAAGCAGTAATGTGACCATTATTTCGTTTCGGTTTTGAAGAATAAGAGTGCTGGTGAAATTACAGGCACATGTGACTTGTCAACTTATGCCTCTGGTTGACGGATGCAGTGGCAGTGCCCCTCAGTTCTTTGCGATTTAAAGCTCTGAGTGGCTCTCTAATTGTTATAGACAGGTGTGTACCTTACCATCAGGCAGACGACTTGTTCGTCCCGTCACTTATATATGTATATAAAAAACGTACTCTCGCAAATCTCAATTTCAACCAAAGAAAAGACATGAGTGGAGTAGACACAATTTTTGTTTTAGCCAAAAAATTTCAAATTGTTATGCTTTTTCCACAGATACCCGTTGTTCTCCTAGTCTCCGAAGCTACGTCCTACCAAATACCAGACGGCCTCTCTGCCGCGTCGCCATCGCAGATCAAGTTCGCCATCGAAAATAATTATGACAACACGGGCCCCGGCGCTAAAGAACCAGACTCCGCTTACCACACCTATAAACACTTGGACGACGCCTTAGTAGCCTACTTGGACGACCCTGATACAAAATTACCTCCTCACGACAAGGCACGAGCCCTGGAAAGACTATATGACCTTCAAAGGTTCCGTTATGGTGTTGACGAGCACGTCAAACCTATAAATATGTACTCTGGAATGGTCGAGAAACATATACCTACAGTTCTAAATAAGCTAATATTTGATAATTTTAAGAGACCGTTCGTTTCTGTTGTGGACTTAAAAAATCTTCACGCGGATGATGTAGATGCAGTGAAATCTCTGGATCCTTATAAATGGCAAAAGGAACAGGAGCCTAAAAAGTCTCCCTTGACGGTGAACGTTTATAATAAGGAAGAGGAACTTAAACATGGTGCGGACTATTTCTTATCTTTTGTAAGTATCGCTTTTTGGTCTTTAAATTCTATTTTAGATTTTGGTGACGGTGCTTCAGATCTTGTACACCACATCATCACGATTAATTGGGGGTTGATGTAATCAAAATTGCTGGTCATACAGGCGCACTTTTGCCAGCACATTGTTTTGTTGAACCAACTGCTAATTTGATTGAAATATTCTTAAGTTCGGCCGAACCAAAAAATATTTTATCTGAGAACCTTTAAATATTAATTAAATTTTTATTGAATTGATATTCAATTCTTTTTTGTGAAATGACTCCACTAGTTTGTTATAATTATTGATACAAAGATCTTGCATACCGTGCCAGACGCTATACCAACTAAGCCACGGAACGAACCAACAGACCTCACGAATTTTTCTATGTGCTTGAGTCGTGTCTTTGTATTTGGTTTTTCAACGACTTTTTAGTCGTAGCGCCGTCTATGAGAAATCTATGAAAGATTTATCACCCAGTTAGTACCTTTACAGCTACCAGTCCTGGCGAGAGATGTCGCTATTCACTGTATTAATTAAATTTTTATTGAATTGATATTCAATTCTTTTTTGTGAAATTACTCCACTAGTTTGTTATAATCGACCGACCGGATCGAAGGAATTTTTTTTTGAGTGTTCGATCTTTGTATTAATAATTATAACCTTTAAATATTGTTAAAGAATTAAAACACGTGAGACCTATACTTCGTGACCATCTTTATTGAATTGTTATCTTCAAATACTTTATTTCAGCATCGTACGAGACACAGTTAAGAATTTTCCCATGACTTTGTTTTGCGAGATTATGCAACATGTTTGTTATTAAATTTTTATTCAATGTCTTTCACCACCATGATATTTAATTATTTTTTGTGAAATTACTCCACTTAGTATTATAAATACTACTAGTCAATAAAATACACTAATTTGTTCTAATTATTAATACGAATATCGAACACTTAAAAAAATTTCGTGAGGTCTGTTGTTTCGTCAGGTCCGCTGGTTAGTTCCGTGGCTTACTAGCATAGCGTCGACGTCTCCTAGCAAACCGTGCCAGTTTGCTAGGAGGCGTCGGTTCGAATCCGGCCGGATCGAAGGAATTTTTTCTAAGTGTTCGACCTCTGTATTAATAATTATGTTTATTGTTAGTTTTATTATTCAATAGCTGTATTAATAAATACAATTTGATGTATCGACAATCGTCAATAGATAATTTTGAATATCAACCGGAATCATATTATGGAACCTTATACACTGCCCCTTAAATGAATATTGTGACTTTATAAAGACGATTGTCAAGAACAGCTAGTTTATTTTTATTCCGCGTATTATTGTTGTGACTGTCACTATTTTTAATTACAAAAATATTATTTTCGTAAATGTACTGTGACGCTAGTACAAGAACTCTTTAAACTTACCTCTCAAAAACACTCTGGGGCCTAGATTGTAAATTGCCCTAACCGCACGTTTCTGCAGGACAAAGATTTAAAGATTTTATTGATTTAATTAGTATATTTGTTAGTACTGTTGTTGCTGTTACACAATAAGATCTCTGAGCCAATTAATTCAAAATTTTGGTAACCAATGACAGTCTCGATTTAAAAAAATTGAAAACAGTATGTATGGCTAACTATAATCGTGATCAAAACGTGCTTGGTAAGGCCGAATGTTACGCAGCATTTCCTTATACGTTAATGGAATGAACAAGAATGAAATCAGGCATCCACAAGTTCATTAAACGTGTGAATGTGGACAGAAATGTGGAGAAAGGTGCATTTCGACATATTTATCTCAATCAGATTGGGGATGGTCTTGAAAATGCCAAGTGAACAGCACCAAGAATAAACGGCATATATGAAGAGGCTGATGAGAGATGAGGAGGCAAACGAGATTTTATCAGGAGTAAAGGTTCATTGTTTCAGCCTTTTTATTTTTTATTTTTTTTGATGGGGGGAAGTCTTTATGGACACCCCTGAGCCCAGGGAGACTCAGGGGTTATGTGGGGACTCTCCCTCCAGACTGGAGGGCCTACCCCACTAAAACCCCCCCGGGTTTCCCTCTCGCCGGTTGAGTCGGCGCCGCGCCGTGGGATCAGTGAACATTCACCACGACGCCGCCCGGGCATTGTTTCAGCCTGCCCGAAAGGGAGATTTGCTATAAGTCCGAGAAACTTGCTTTTTATGATAATTATGTCATTTTTGTCCCTGCCTTTGTAATAACGATAGGAAGTAACGTTCGGTCCACATCATTTATTGTAAAAGGTATAACAGTAAAGAAAAGGTTAATGAAAAGAAAGAATCAAGGAACTGGCTGTAACAAAAAACAATGGTAAAAACGTACAATAATATAAAAACACTTCCTACAGATTAGACAAACGTTAATGAACTTACCCCAAAAGGTTCTGTATTCGTATGTAACATATTACTGCTTTATAAAGCAGTTAGGGTACGTGATTAAGAGCACGTCTGCTCGCCTTGAGATGCCTTAACTGGGAGAGAAGAGAAACCGTTTTAAGATCAATCCAACTACACAAGCGCATAATGTACATCCTTACCGAATCCAATTACATGAAAAAGCTTTTTATTTTATTAGGTATTGTAATAAAATATTATTTCAATGATTTTGTAACATTTATTAATGAAAGAATCAATCTACACGAAAACAATCAATCTGTCTAGCTTAACCGTTCTGGAATTTTATCAAAGTTATATTTTAAAAACAACAGCAGAGCTGCTCTTTCATATTTTGTTTCTTGGAGGTTTCCAGTGTGTCTTTTAGGTCATGTCACGACTCGAACATCCGCAATGAATAGCAGCATCGATACATGCGGATGCTGATGCGGATGCGGCTATTTTAATATATGCAGATAATCCGCGGATTTGGATGCTGATATTCGCAACGGTCTACTAGTAGACTACAGTTGTATTTTCTCCAGTGATCGGAAATTGTGTGCAAATGGTGCAATTAAAAATGATATTGAGAACATTTACTACGTTTGCGCCGCGAGTAGGGTCGAGTAATTGTCCGAAAATTTCAAACAGCATACATTTTTCAAAAATTGTCCTGATTTTGAATTTTTGAATTTGAGAAATGTAATTCGGTATCTACGTCTGAATACACATTTTAAACCTTAAAAAAATAAAACCATTAATTAGCATGAATTATAAAATAAAATTGTATAAACATAGCTAAACGTAATAATTCATATTCGAACCAACGTGTTCCAGCAAATAGTGGCAGACGCTATGCCAACTAAGCCTCGGAACGAACTAGCGGACCTTACGAGTTTTTCTATGTGTTTGGTGCAGATCTCTGATGTTGGTTTTCAACGACTTTTTTGCCGATCTTTGTATTGATAAATTATTACAAACTGGATTAATTTTACAAAAATAATTGCTCAATCATCGTGACATTGAGTAAACTTAAAAATAGTTATTTTCACAAACTGCTATAATGAGTTCAGCTACTTCAACTTTTGCCAGGTGTCACTCAAATCTGGAAAAATATTCTGATAAATATTTATTTTTCTGCTAAATACCTACGATTTTCCAAATGGAAATTCTTCCATGACCCAACACTAGTCGCGAGCGATATAGGTTAGGTTAAAAAAAAGGTAAACTGCGACGCGAATTGCTGCGATGCGATTTCGTGCGGCAAGGAATCTCACTGCCACGGTTCGGGTAACCATTCTTTCGAGGATCACCAACCGTGCTGAACGTATTATTTAAACTTGGTAGCGACATGCATCGTAAAAAGAGTGTTGCAATGTTGTTATTGATAAAAAAAGTATAGGAAAAAAACACAAAGAAGATCAACATCGCAGGAATGCGCGCTGCGGAGTAATTCGCAAATTCTAGCGACAGCTCGTTAATTTTTGCAATACGACGTCGCATCGCAGTTTTGTGTTTCGACCCTAAAGGCCCATTTAGATGGAGAAAGTTTATCGCACGCTTCGTGACGAAAAATCGTACGCGATTATCGTAAGCAATAATCGCCATAAGATTATCGTATCATTACATTCAGGCAAGAACTAAAATCTCGCCTACGATTATGTCATACGAGATTCGCAAGCAACTTAATCGCCTCCTCAACTATTTACTCGGATAAATATGTAGTAAGGAGATTCTTGCTTACGAGTTTTCGACTTATCTAAACACGATCTCGTATGACATTTTTTCAAGTTCATACGATTATCGTACAAATCGGTTCGAACCGTTTTGAGTGCGACAATCGCCATTCGAGTTCAGTGATTACTGCGGTATTGACTATGTAAATATCAAAATGACGCAAAAATCATTGAAATTTGGAACTGCTGATAATATTAAGTTCATTGCACTGTATAGAAATATACTTTTTTTTTAAATTTTATAACATTTCATAACCCTTATTTTCTTTTTCGTTTCCTTAATTCTTGTCTTAGAAAAGCAGTTATAATCAAAACCCGCTCGCGCACTATACTCATGGTAGAAACGGCTGGCACAAAAACTCGAAATACGATTTTTGCTTTCAAGTTCTGTTTACATGGAGACGTTCAATATTGAAAGGCGAGGCGATTATCGCTCACGTGGAAGGGCGATAATCGCGAATGTTTAGACGAGGAAAGTTTGTTTATATTCTTTCGATAATCGTATCTTCGAGACGAGAAACTCTCTCCATCTAAATGGGCCTTATTACCCAAAGCCCATGTGCACCGCACACCCTGCGCCACGGAAGAAAAAAAAACCATAGAAGTGCCTTAAGACTCGATTACTATCAGAACCGCTGTCGCCAAACACACAAAAAACTAAAATGAATGAATGTTTGGTCGTAGTTTCCCATTTAAAAAGACGTAACAAGTTCAATACCTCAAAAAACTCAAAATTCAAAAATAATCTTTATTTCATAGGTAAGCATTATTACACTTGAAATCGTCACAATGGTTAAACTCTACCGCTCATTCGTAAGGCAGATTCCCCTGAGAAGAATGAGCAAGAAACTCTAGGGGTTGCTCTTTGTAAATAGCA